TGTGAATAACTTTTAAATTTCTCTCACTTCATGCTTAATATGCACAAAAATGTTTTAAATTATTTAAAATTTTAAGTTTGAGGGAAGGGATTAAAAATTTTTTAAGAAAAAAAAAACTAGACTTTATTTGTCCTCGGTAAACTATGTTTTTAAATTATTTTAACATAGTATGTGATATGTTGTGTTAACATTAGAAGACTATATTTTTGCTCCTATAATGTTATACAAGTATTAAGTAAAATTTTCATGTAGCAAGGGGTAGTTCAAAAGTTAAGGTGTTTGATATGAAAGTTATGATGATATGAAAGTTGTTTGATATGAAAGTTATGATTATGCTTTCATTATTCAGAGTAGAGAAATCATATTTTTGAAATGCTATGAAATCTTAGATATACACTTCAAAATAAATCGAAGACTCTATGAAAAATCATTTTTAGACTAATACACATTATTAAGTGAAGAAATGTGATATTTTTTAACTTTAAGAAGAGGACAGTGAAGTTCAAAATCATTAAAGGTCATTCAGATATAGTAATCCTCAGATAAAAAGAAAAGAAAAAAAAGTAAGAAATAAAAAGATCATGAAAGAAAAAGAAAAAGAAAATAAAAAGAAAAATATGTGAGGAGAAGCTTGAGGAAATGTCTTATAAAAAATTGGCTTCACTTGAATCAACTTAAAGGAAAAGATTTAATTACATTTCTAAGCTTATTTACAACTTTAAAGTACTAATATTTTTACTAGTAAAGTTCTCATAAAATTTTATTATTTTAATTTTTTTGAGACTTCTAAGTATGACAAATTATAATTATTTTTGAAATGAATAGACTAGTCAAATTTCCTAGACTTGATTATTGAATATTCATATACTTTCGTTCTAACCTAAGTTATCAACAATTTCTTTTAAGTTCTACTATCACATTTTTAGAATAAGAACTATAAGAATCTTTAAGTGAAACTCACTATCACATATTATAATGTGTTATTTAGTAAAAGGGTTACTTAAGAATAAGTAACATTTACGTTTGGGGGAATTGATGCACCTTAAAATTACTTATTTTATATGCACATTTTGTACCTATTTTTGAGGATATTATGCTTTAATGAAAGGTACTTCTTGAGTTTTTGGTTGTTTTTTTTTTGTGTTTTTGGTTGCAGATGTAAGAAAAGAGTTTAAGAGCAAAAATGAGCAAAAATACATTAAAAAGGAGCAAAATGGGCCAAATCAAGTTTATTGATAAAAAATTAAAGTTGGGGCATATGCACCAGAATTTGGTGCATAGACTTCAGATGGAAATCGAGGCTGGCGCTTAAGCGTGACAGTTTGACACGTAGGCGCCATAAACAATTACAAATATATTCATTGAATTTGAACAAATTTTGAAAAGTTGTCTTAAGCAAACCTTGGTGATTTTTGAAGCTCTATATATTGAGATTAATTTTGGATGAAATAGAGATGTTTAATTTTAGTTATTTTCAAATCTTTGCATTTACTTTTAATTTGCACTTGCAGGAATTAGAAAACATTATTTCACACCTGAATTACTGTCATAATTCCCTAGAATTTATTCCATTATTTAAAGTAAAGGTTTTTCTTAGTCACATACATAAAATTACCGCTTTCCCTGTGGGATCGATATTGGGGCTTTTAAGGAAAACTTTATAATACTTAAAATAATACATATACTTGCGTAGAACCACTACTGTGAAAATTATTACTTTAATTTTTATAACATTGCATTTGTTGCACTAACCGCTAAATATAAATTGGATCAAGTTTTTTATCATAGTTTGGAATATAAATATTTTCGTAATTGAGAATCCTACCACAGCCCCAAACGGGGCCGTAGTGTTGTGAACCTATATGTTGATTGTTGTTTCATATTTATGTGAATCATTTTACCCCATTATGTTATGCATATGAGCTTATTATGTTTCCTTAAGTAATTCTTTATTTAAGCTCTTATAATTAGAAAAATTAAGTAGCTTCATCAGATAAGAATTATTCCTTATAAAGTTACCTTGGAGTATACTAATTAAAGGAATTATTAAACCATTAGAAAATATTTGAGTTTTACATAGATCTAATAATACTAATTGATTTACTTAGATTAATAGATCTTTTGAATTTAAAAAACCTAACAACATAAACGTAGTTGACCAAAAATCTAATTTAATTAATTAAGAAAAATTCAAATGTCACATCCATCAATACATATAACTTAAAATTAATTATCATTTAAATTATAAAACTAAAAATAGATATTGAGAAAATAGAATCAATTTAAGTATAGAAGATTTGGTATTTAACATCATTAACATACTTATTCAAAAATATCTATCCTTAAAAGAAAAAAATAGAGAAAAATGAATAAAAAACACATGGTGCATGAAAGAAAAAAACTCTAAACGAAGAGCTTGATATATGATAAAACTTGAGAACAATTCTATACATAAAAAATTGGTAAATATAATTTTCTTAAACTTAAACTATTCAAAATCTCATGGATATTAAAAGTATTGAACTTAAATTTTAAAAATCTAAATTACGCTTATATGATTGATAAGTTAAAATTTTATAAACTTATTAATTAAATAATTTTAGACAATTTTACACTACACACTTAGGGCAACTTGAATTGGAAGAATATTAAAATTATGTAAAAAATTATGATATTACCAGTACGTATGGATTCATGAACTTCTTAAGGTTTAATTGAACTTTAATTTCTATACTCATTAAGTAATTTATTTGAGAGTAAGCTTAACCTAATTTGCTACTCAATTCCTTAGATTGTAAGACTTGGATCAATAAATTACTTGGAGACCTATAATGTTTGAGTATGGGAGAATTGTTGATTGAGAAAAAAAACTTAACAATTTTTTTTTTAATTTTTGCATAATTATGTATTTATGTGCATGTTTGTGCCTAAGAGAAAAATCATGAAAAAATGGTTAAGTTTATTGAAGCCCCGAAGCGTTAGGTACTAGAGTCATGATGCCAAAGTTGGAGTACTAAAGTGAATATTTCCCTAAGAGCTCAATGCTTACACCGGGTGATCGACGTCTTAATAATAGTTCCAACACCCAATGTCAGTGCCATGACACCATGCTAAGCCATGCTAAGCCAAATGGATGAGACAAATCCAACATCACAACACTACCATATCCATTGTCGCACCACTATTGAGGATTAGGCTCATGAATCAAAAGACAGAGAAGACCAAGCTGGGGTGCCAAAAACCCAGACACATAATGCCGTCACTTAATGCCATAAGGCCAAATTTGAGTGCTCTAATGCCTACTGTAGCATCACAGTGTGACAACTTGATAAGACAATTATTAAATGCAAAATTTAATTTTTTTGGAGGGGGAAATGATTATAAGTGTGCGTACTATTAAAAGAGAGTGATAGAGAGTCTGCGGGAGGATTTGATAAGACTTTAAGTGAGTTTATAGATTAAGTGCACATTGTGAAGAACTCTTAGTTTGAGAGTTTGTGTTAATGCTTGTGTTGGTGGAGCAAGGCGAAGAATCTAGTGGAAAGCTTGGAGATTTTTGCAATCACCAGTTTTTATCATTTAATTTCTATTATTTTCTTGATTCACACTTTGTAAATGCACTTTAATACTATAGAATGGATATATGTGTGATGTTTTACTGCATTCCCATGTTAGACTAAACTCTCTAATTATTATGGATCTCTTTGTTTAATAAAGTTAATGTTAAAGTTATGTCTAAAATGATAAACTTTTCCAATTTCATTTGTGAATTTTTAATTTCATTTAATATTAAGTAGTGGGCATACGAATGTTTTAAAAGTTGTGTAAGTTTGAGATAACGATAGTTTTGATTCGTACAAGAAATTTCATAACATAAATTTATGGAAATAGAGACATTCTCCTTTGAAATTGACAAGAAATAGAGAAATGTGCATATTTCATTTTTGAAATACTTATGAGCTTAGACATATGACTTGAAATTTTGGAAATGAGTATTTTTGTTGCTATTGAAAGATGCCTAAAACTATTGTTGCTCTTGATTTTTGACTTGTACTATTTAAACCTAATATATCACATTGATTTTATAAACGAGAAATCCTTATGAAGTTTCACTTGCATTTGAAATCCTTTAAAAAGTAAAAACAAAACAATAACATTTTAAACAAATTTTCATTTCTTCGAATAAAATTAGTGTTTGTAAAACTAGTGCATTTGACTTTAATTTTCAATCTCCTCATTTTCTTATGGGACGATTTCAGACTCATTTCCATTACTTTACTTATATGATACGTGCAATTGCATGAGCTTGTGCAAGATCAGGTTAATATCTACCACCTAAACTTTAATAATTTTACTAATAAAAATCAATTCTTAAAATCACACAAGAGATATCACTTTTAAAAACTTTTTAAAAGTGATACACTTCTTTATATGCACTAGAAGTTGTTATAAATGTAAATATCAAAATTTAAGAGTTTGATATGAAAATGCATAAAAATTGTGTGGTACATATTTAAAATTTAAAATTCATTTTTAGCCTTAAACTTAATTAAAATATTGTTAATATTTTAAATATCATTCTCTATAAATTTTTCTCTCTCAAGCCATTTAGTTGTTGGATTTTTGTTGTTAGAGTCTTTGTACTTGATCAAATAAGATTTTATATGGTTGTAAATTAACTTGATGTATACGTACATAGGAGTTCCAAGTTTTTAAATTTTAGGATATAAAAAATCTTTTTAGTAGCAAATGTTTTAGGGAGAAATATATAATTTAAAAAATAGAATGACAATGAAGAATAGTTGAAATAAACCAAGAACTGAGCTATGTGTATGCTCATGTATACGATACTATGTAAATTCCTCTGTGGTATTGGCAAGAGTAAAGAAAAGTCTGTAAGTTGCTCCTGTGATTTGGATTCCCAAAGGGAGGGTGATGAATTCGACAACAAGGTGGACAGTTGGAGAAGAAACCTTGGCTTGCACACATGGAAAGGAAGGAAGAGGTTGCTTAACTCATCTTAGACTTAACCTAAACCCTAAATTTAACCTCAATTAGACCTAATCCAACCTTTAGGTCTAACTCATCTTAGCCCTAACCCATCTCCTAGGTCTAACCTCAATCCAAGGAGAAATATTGCGTTAATCTCTTATCAACCGATTGATTTTCTTCTTTCTTCCTCTGCATCATCCCAAATGCTTGCGCTTGCTTTCTTGAAATCGCTATTTTATGAGAATTTAGTTCGGATTTCTTCCCCTAATCAGTTTTTTGTAGTTTTATGTCTTTTAAGCTCGCATATGATTAGCTTAGCATGCAGTTGCTTGCTTGTGAATGTTTGATTTCAAATTTCCTGTTCTTCTATGCGTTGTTTTACTAATCATCTATATTCAAATGAGTGAAAAAAAATCTTTTTGGAAGGCTATATTAATTGCTCCATTTTTTCATTGTTCGATTGCTTGGCGTCAATGCTACTGATTCGCGTTATTGACCTTTTTTCTTGCTCATCAATACTGGTTTTCTCAGGAGATTGTTTACCTGGGCTTAACGAGAAGGAAGCCTTACTACTTAAGTTGATCTTTGGCGTTGAATGGGGTATTTTGATAATGTAAGTACTGAGTAACTATCCTTCATTTTTTTTAATGATGCAATACTTTGCTGCTACAAGCTTCATTGCTCCTTACTGGGAACTACTGTAAAAAAAGAAAAAAAAAAAATCAGATTCACTCACGAATAGAAAATGCCCTATATTTTCTTTTGTCATAGTTAAGTTCATTTCAATGAGGCATCAATTTCATGCCCGTAATGCTTCCTGTATTTGGAAATTGTTCATTTGACAAACAATTTTTTTTGTTGCAATGCAGTGGTTTGAGAAACGTCAGGAGGCAGCCTTTGCTGATGGTATGATCTTATTGGTCATATTCCATGGAGTTCCTTTAATTTTTAAGCATACTGTATAACATTGTCTTGTTTTTCTCTCTTCTGTCTCTGTTTGTGTTTGTATTTATGATTCAGATGTAATGTACTTCTGCGTTCTTTAACTGATCACAATCTTTTCCAAGGGATAGAATCACTGTTGATCATCTCTGGAATGTTCATGCAGGTGGGGTTATTCGGGCTGGAAGGGAAATACTTTTTCAGGTATGCAAATAATTTTTTAATTATTTTTTCACTGGTTTCTAGGTCATTGCTTCTGTAATATAGCTTTATTTATAAGAATGGGCTATTAATTTTATGGTTAGAAGATTTTTGGAAATTGTTTATGAATTTAATAAACTTGGTCCTCTACTGTGCTTATGTGAATGTATTTGCAGTTGAAGGCAGGCTTCTAGCTTCTCAGTATGAGCTGCATTAGATGGTAGTTTCTTTTGAATGGATGTGAAAGGCTTGTAATTTGCTATGGAACTTAGACTTGATACTAGAGTTAACTCACACAACAGTAAGAAAGTAAATATTATTACAGAAATTCAAATATTAAGTTACAAATAACTAATTGAAAATAATAATTGACACGACAAACTAACTCCCGCTAGGGTTTGGATCAAGGGAAGGTGGAGTTGAGGTGGTCGGTGAGGGTCAAGAATGTGGCGGGATGGTGGACAAGATGGTTGGCTAGCAGAAAATAACAAGGCAATAGTTTCCTGGGTTCCGAGCAGCAAGTATGCGACATATATTGATGTTGCACGGCTGTCCGGAATGATGGTAGCAAAGGGAGAGGGCTGGAATAGTGGCTGGGTGGCAAGGAAGTGGTTTGGAATAGCTGGAACAGCAGCCAAAGCTACAGAGGGGCGTTCTTGGTGGCCAGAACGGCAACGAGGCGGTAAGGGAAATGAATATGGTCAGCTGGAACAACAACCAATGGGTGTGGAAGGCAGCTGGAACGCAGGAATTGTAGAAAACAACAAAAGAGGCTATTCCAGGTGCCTGCAATAGGGAAGGAGCGGTGATATTAGGTTTGAATATTCCCCATGTTGTCTAGGTGGCTATTCCGGGTGCCTGCAATAGGGAAGGAGCCTCTGTTCCGGGTGCCTGCAATAGGGAAGTAAATTACAACTCCAACAAGCTGCTCAGGAAATTACCATAAAGGATATACACCAGGAAATCATCTATTTGCAGCATAGGCTCGCTGATTTTGAAAGAAGTCAACATGGGGAAGTCACTCACAACAACAATAGTGACCGTCTAAGTGAAGCAGATGAAGAAAACTCTTTTCACCAAGAAGCTTCAAGTGATGAAGAGTCAATGCCATGTTGATTCAACATTGAGTGTAGGAGGAAGGACGGTGACTTTGGAGTCAAGGTGGATCTACTAGATTTTGATGACCACATGGACCCAGATGAGTTTATTTAATGGCTCCAAATAATAAAAAGAGTCTTCGAGTATAATAACGTCCCACCTGATAGAAGGGTAAAGTTGGTCACCATCTAGTTGAAGAAAATTGCGTCTCTATGGTAGGAGAACTTGAAGTACCTATGTCAGTGCGAGGGAAAAAACAAAATTATTTGATCCAAGATGAAAAGGGAGATGCACCATAAGTATCCAACAACAAATTGTAGACATGATGTGTTTTTGAGTCTTCATTACTTACAATAAAAATATCTTTCAGTAGAATAGTACATCGTTGAGTTCGAGCAGCTTATGTTGAAGTATGAACTAATGGAGTTTGAGAAAAACATTGTAGGATGATATCTAGGGGGATTGAGACTATTTATTGGCAATATGGTACAGTTATAGCCCCAATGAATTTTATAAAATTTTCAAATTTTAGCTTTGAAGGTGGAGAGACAACACTGCAACATCAGGTTCACACCTACTTCCAAGCTGGATTCAGCCTTTAGATGAAGTAGCAAGGGCACACCAATTAGAGTACCCAAACCTACCACATGTGAAGAGAAGCCAACATAGGAGGAAAATATGACTGACCAGACAAGCACCACCATGACATTGGATACATACACATTTCATCCAACTGTCCAAACACGAGGGTGATTTTTTTTAACAGAGCAGGGTGCAGTGGAGTAGATAGAGAGGAGAATGGATGATACTAGCTACCTACAGATAACGATGAAATGCTTGTGGTTCGACAAGTTCTCCTGATCTAGTCTAAGAGGGATTAGCAGTGGCTCGGGCATAACATCTTCCATGTATTCTTTGTACTATAAAGAGGAAGGTGTGCAGTCTTATTATAGATAGAGTTAGTTGTGAAAATATGGTATCTACATAAATGGTGGATAAATTGATTCTTTCTGTTCAAAAGCATTCACAATCATATTCCCTTGGTTGAAGAAGGGAAATGAGATTTATGTCGATAAAAGATGTTTGGTGGAATTATTAATTGAAGATAAATTGTGGGATGAAGTTTGGTGTGATGTCATTTCTATTGACACAAATACTTGCCATTCCATTACAAAAATGAAATTTACGAACTAAATTATAAAAATTCGGTTACAAGCGCCTAGGCTCTACCTTCGAGCGTGCTGGGTTTTTGGGTGTATTGGTTTGAAGAACAATTTGGGCACGACTGCACCCCTTCTGGGCACCACAATTCCAACAGCTCTATCCCAAAAGCAAGGTGCCGGGCACCCAAACGCTCCCATTGGTGCCAGAGCGCTACTTTAAGTCTTGGGGCGCCCATCCTGGCTTTCTGAGAAGTGTCAGGCGCCATTCCAAGCGTCGAGTTTCCCCCAAACTCCATAAGCGGACTCCATATATAACAATCTCCTACTTGGAGACTGATTATAAGCAACCTTGCTCCTTTAAATCTGTATCATCTTCATAGTAATGCACAATGGTATGACTCAACCATTAGTCTCAAGCTTCCTGAACTCTAACAGAAGCCAATTATAGTTTTAGTTTTTCAATTGTAACAACTTTAGTCGATATATCTGTAGGATTCTGAGCTGTATATATCTTTTCCAAACATAACTGACCATCTTTTAGGATTGAACGAATGAAATGCGAACTTTACTAAATGTACTTGATCCTGACATGAAACGCGATACTGTTAGCTAGGTGAATAACACTCATACTATCATTGAATTTTTCAATTCCTTTATTTATTGCCCAGTTCTGCCATAAAGCCCTATAACCAAATCATTTCCTTATTAGTTTCAGTGATATCAATTTATTTGGCTTCTGTAGTTAACAATACAACAATCTACTATAATTTGGATACCCAACTCACTATTATTTTCCCCTAAGTTAAGATGTAACTTGTACTTCTACCATTGATATCTTTTATTAGATCTGAATCTACATATTCCTGTAGATTAATCCTCGCACTTCCAAAACAAAGTACTTTATTGTTTGTTTCTCTCAATTATCTGATAATTTACTTCACCGCCTTCTAATGATGTTGATCTAAATTACTCATGTACCGATTGACCACTCTTATAGCATGTGCAATATCTAGATTTGTACATATATCACTTACATCGATCTCTAACTGTTGAAGCATCAAAGTTCTTCTCATTTGTGTTTGATCTGCTTCAAACTAAGGCGATTATTCTTTAGATAGCTTAAAGTGACTATGAGAGGGTGCACACTGAATTTGCTTCACTCATGTTAAATTACTCATGTACCGATTGACCACTCTTATAGCGTGTGCAATATCTGGATTTGTACATATATCACTTACATCGATCTCTAACTGTTGAAGCACCAAAGTTCTTCTCAGCTGTGTTTGATCTGCTTCAAACTAAGGCGATTGTTCTTTAGGTAGCTTAAAGTGACTATGAGAAGGTGCACACTGAATTTGCCTCACTCATGTTAAATTTATGTAAACCTTTCTCAACATATTCTGTCTGAGACAACTTCAAGGTACTTGCACTCCTGTCCCTGCTGATTCTCATACCGAGAATTTTTTGGTGGGACCTAAGTCCTTTTCAAACTCTCTTAATAATTGCTCATTCAAGTCATTGATCTTTTCTATATCTACTTTTGTAATCAGCATGCCATTCATATAAGAAAAAATACAATATAACAACTACCAAAAATATTTGATGAAACAACAATGATCTGCTTGATATTTTATGTACCATTGTTTGATAAAAACTTTTCAAATCTTCAATTCTATGATCTTGTGCTGGTTTCAAATTATAAAGATTCTTCTTCAGTTTACAGGCCATATCTTCTCTTCCTGGAACTTGATATCCCCGTGATTGCATCATTTACAGTTCCTCTTGCAAGTCATCATGTAAGAAGACTATTTTTACATCTATCTACTCTAGATGTAGATCTTATGCTACTAAGCTCAACACAACTCAGATAATTGTTGCTTTTACTACCCAAAAATCATCTCAGTGTTGTTTACTCATTCCTTTATTGAAACCCTTCACAACAAGCCTCGCCTTATAGTGCTTGCAACCATTTGAGTTTTTTTAGCATGTAAATCCACTTGTTATGCAACGCCTTTTTGCCATTTGGTAATGCTGTCAAATCCCATGTTTGATTTTCTCTTAGTGACTGCATCTCATCATCCATGTCATGCTCTCAATAATTTGAATCTTCAACTTGAGTGATCTCATCATGAGACTATGATTAACCAATATTAGTTTATAATAAATAGGGGTGTTAAAAATTAACCTGACACGCCAACTCGACCCGGAACCGACTTAAAAAATCTAGGTTCTGGCCGACTCGAATAATTTTTGGGTCAGGTTGGGATTAAATAATCAAACTCATTTATTTTTATTGATTGAGTTCACTAGAAAAAAATCAAAAATTGACCCGCCAACTTTAATTTGACTTGAAGTCAACCCGCCAACTCGTAATTGACCCGAAATTGACCCATTTTTAACCCAAATAATGCTTTCCTCAAGGGAGAACCCTCGTAGTTAATTACATCTCAAGATGTGTCTCTCCCGAGAATACTCTTAATTAAAGTATTGACTTATATTATTAAAGATACAAAGTCGGTGTCTGTAAGATTGTTGTTTCAAAACTTTAGATAGATTCAGGGTTTGAAATGATCTACTTAGAATTGAAAGATTGTGAATTATATTCTAATGAAGATGTGTCATGGAAAGATGCAGGGAAATGATTAGCTAACTTTGAAGAAGGCGTGCCCTGGGAATTGAATTTAATTTATTTTTGGGGAAAGTTGAGTTTTGATTTGAGAGTTTGGATTTGGTTTGAAAAGA